TTATTTCCGCTTGTGCTGATTTAAATGCTTTTTATCATCGTTTTACCTTTTTTTCTATTTAAAAAAGTTATTTATTCAAAGAAAAACAATTTGATGGCGCTTAAGCAGCAAAATTTGACAGTATACAACTTTAGAAAAGACATATTTAAAAGAATGAAAGATACAGTAAAATTAGTTGAATCGATTATGGCACGTTTAAATGAGAATATTAAAAGATTAAAAGATGGAAACAAGTTAATATGTTTCATTGATGGTTTATTTCATTTCATCGACGACAAATTGTTGTGCTTGAGTGGGGAAATGAACGGAGAAAGCCTCCCAAACGGATGAGGGATTCTTTGGTGGCTTGGAAAGCTGAAATAAAGGCATTTTTACCGCAAATCAACACTTCAGCCTGGCTTAAAGCCTGATGACGATAGCTTTTCTCTAGGTGCATCTTTTAAAAACTGCTTTAGTTCGAATATACACTTGATCTCTAACCAACCAAGAAATGATGCACATATAATGGCTTGATTGTCGACTCTGAGAACTCGTCACGGTTGAAAGTATGCTGAAAATTGGCTTTTGATTCATAGCAGATGATCGGCTTACATTTTGTTGATTGATTGGCTCCAAGACAAACGGTCCAGCACAGAAATGATCCTTGATACAGAGCTGAAATTGAAATCATGACTTTTTAAGCCTTTTTAACCCAATTTTTACTCTATTTCTATTCTGTTTAGGCTTAAGGATGGAAACACACCCTTTCTTGTGCACTAAATACGTCACTCTTCTGCTATTGATCACTCAAATGCACCAGAAAGAGTGTGTTTACATCCTTGAGACCAAGTACACTTTAAAACTGATCTTTATAGCATTGAGCTCACCTTGTACAGCATAAAATGCGTTGTTGATGGATTCTCCACTTGATAAGAAGCTGTTGAATCAAGAACGGAAAACTCCTGTGAACTGGGGAGAATCAGTTGATTGATTGCGTTATAGCAAAGTATTCCAAGAAGTATTCCGAAAAGCTTTTTGAGAAACTCTTTCTTATCACTTTTTTTCGACTTCTTCTAGAATGAATTTTGCATAATTTTGCATTTATATTTTCCCTGAAACCTTCTCTTCAGTATCATCTTGACTTTCATCATCCGTATAATAAGATTCAAGCATTCGATCCATTTGAGCATCGAGTTGACGCTAAATTTGATTGTTTATAAATTTTTGGTGTACTTTGTGCTCAAAAATATACGCGTACCCTTTCTGGCACATAAGACTCTTAACATATAACAATTCGTTTTCGTTGAAAAATTCAAGAATTTATTGCCTTAAAAGGGTTTCCTTGTGCGTACCCTCCATGTCACTCGCAAGAAAAAACGGCTTCTGGCACACTTATTTTGGGTGGGAGGCGAGTAAGAGGCCTTTCCCCGGTTTAATTACCCAAATGTGCGTACCCTTGATGTCGTTCGAAAAAACGAAAAAACGGCTTCTGGCACACTGCGCTGATTTGAGTGGCCAGAAACCGCTTTGTTTGGGTTTAATTACCCGAGTGTGCGTACCCTCCATGTCGTTCGTAAGAAAAAACGGCTTCTGGCACACTGCCCCGATTTGACTAGCCAGAAACCGCTTTATTTCGGTTTAATTACCCAAGTTTTGTTGGGTACTTTGTTTTTCGAAAAAGAATGTATTTAAGATTTTAAATGAAGCTGTAAGAAGCATCAAATTTTAGCAATTTGATTGAATCGTCTATTCTGAAAATTGTTTAGCATTTTCCTTGAATTGGCATTAGTTTACAAGTATCAAAAGCAAATAAAACAAACGAGATTCTTCTCCGGATTGTCACTGTTTTCTTCTTCAGTTCGAGATGGTGAAGAATTGTCTTTTTTTGAGGTTTTCATCTTTGGAGTACGGATTGATTTCTAAAATTGAAATTTGTGCTTAGAGCTTTGTTTTGAGATTTGAGATTTGTTATTTGAGATTTTAAAAACCTTAGAACGAGTCGCTTTTGGAGTTTTCTCATCGACATCAGATGGAGAATTGGAGGATTGCTGAAAAAATGATTGTTATGAGATTGGATAAATGATTTCAACTCATATTAGGTTGGCAAGTTATAAACGATCGTTTTTAGGGTAATGTGTTTTCTGAAAAAACGGCTTATCCAATCAAAAAACGGTTTGCTTCATTCAAAAGCCCTATCCTTTCAGAACAATCCAATCTTCGATCGAACCGTTCTCTTTATTTTCATCTTTTTTAAAAATCTTGCTTAAATTCAAAAGAAAATGCATTAAATTAGCACAAAAGTAAATTTTGAGCCTAATTTCAAAATCAACCTTCCGAAAATTGGATTGTTCTGAAATTTTGGGAAACTATGTAATCGATGAAGCGTTTTATTTTAAAAAGTATGCAATCACTCAAAAATATATTAGCTCATGAATGCTAGAAATCAGAATTTTCAACTCTTAATGCCTGAAGTTCTAAAGTTAAAAGTTCTAAAATAAAACACTTTTCAAAAATTCAAAAAAGCCATCTTGTAGATTAAGGATAGGGCTTTTGAATGAAGCAAACCGTTTTTTTGATTGGATAAACCGTTTTTTCAGAAAACACATTACCCAAAAAACGATCGTTTATAACTTGCCAACCTAATAATACTATTTCTTTAAAGCTCTTGTACTGAATAGTAATATTTAAAAGTTCAATATAGTAATATTTAAAAGTTTGAATACCTTTTGATTAGAGAGTTTCAATTTCCTCTCAATATTGTCCACATTTTCCACAACCACTTCGTAATCGGAATTCTCGGAATTCTCAGGTCCAGGTGGGAAAATCATTGCAGCTGAATAAGCTGAATATATTGAAAATAAGCTTTAATAAAAATATTAGGCTGAAATTTGTAAAATGATTTTTTTTGAATAAGATCTGAGCTATTGAACAGATGTCACTTTTTGAGAGAAATTCATTTCAAACAATTGCCATTGGCAAATCAGAAAATTAATGATAACCAAAGGGGATCAATGGAAAATTCAAATTAGAAAATGAAACAAAAAGATCAATGGAAAAAGTGGCATCTGGCAAATCCGGAAAACCATTCACATTCGTCAATTAATTGTTTAATTACCCAAATGTGTACTAGACATGGGAAAATTCGAACCCAAACCTAATTCCATCTTTCACCTTCATTTTCTCAGCCGTCTCTTCACCGATTGCTCTGAAATTTTGTCTGAAAGCAGAGAACGCCAATTTCTATTTGTAAGCAAAATTTCAGAACAATCCGTCAAGAGACGGCTGAGAAAATGAAGGTGGAGTTAGGTTTGTCTTGGAATTTTCCCATGTCTATAAGGTGCGGCATAAGTATGGTTACAAGGTTGTAACATTGATTTAAGAAGCTGTTTGATTTTTATTTGTTGCCAAAGGATTATTTTTTCTTAATTTGAATGCTTTTTTATATTATGTAGCAGTTTTTAAGCAAATTTTTAAGTTTGGACATAATGGTGAAGGCTTCTCCCAGCCGTGCCGCTATTCTTCAGCTTGGAGCACAAAGACAATCAACTTCGGATATTGCCAAACTGCTGAAAATGCATCGAATGACGGTATACCGCATTTTGCAACAAAATAGAGTCGAAGAGCTTTCTAAAAGTGGACGTCCGCCAAACATTGATCACACGAGACTCAAGAAAATCATGAACGAATCAAGCAATTCGAATCAAACGAATCAAGCGCAATCCTGCCCGGAGCATGAGAAAAATGGCTTCCAAATTGAATGTTTCTGATAGAACTATCCGTCGTATCGTCAAAAAGGATCTGGGTACTCACCCTTACAAGTTAAGGAAGCATAATGGCCTCACGGATCTTCAAATGAGAAACAGGAAGGAAAACTGTGCAAAACATGCAAACGTTGAAAGTCTGAAAAAGGCTCTGAAGAAAGCCTGGGTGGAAATTCCACAAAGTACAAAGTACAAAGTACAAAAGACACCGTGGAAAGTTATCCAAAGTGTCTTAAAGCCGTTATCAAGAATAAAGGTGCCCATATTGAATAATTTGTTATTTTTTAAATGAATTAACTCAGACGATTACTAGACATCAGTAAATTAACGCAGACGTGTATCTGGACGTTCTCACAAAACATGTACAGCCGTGGAGTCAAGGACATTATCAAAATCGGCGCTGGACGTTGATGCAAGACGGCGTCCCAGCGCAAGAAAAGACTCAAGAGTGGTGTCGAAACAATTTGCCCGACTTCATTCCCGCCAATGAATGGCCAGCTAATTCGCCCGACCTCAATCTTATGGATTTCTGTGTTTGGGCAATTTTGGAGCAAAAAGCATGCACAACAAAACATGCAAACGTTGAAAGTCTGAAAAAGGCTCTGAAGAAACTGGTCGCACACCGTTGATTTTCGTTGATAAAGGGCTGAAAATTAACACATACGTGTTAAAGAGAGAAGGAACCAAATTTAGAGAGATAAGGAACCAAATTTGGAGAGATGGGGAACCAAATTTGGAGATAAGGAACCAAATTTAGAGAGATAAGGAAATTCCACAAAGTACAAAGTACAAAGGACGCCGTGGAAAGTTATCCAAAGCGTCTTAAAGCCGTTATCAAGAATAAAGGTGCCCATATTGAATAATTTGTTATTTTTTAAATGAATATGATTACTGTTATTAATTTTAGATAAAGTTTACATGAATCCGTTCATATTTCATTACGATACACGGTTCTGAGTCTGTAACTATACTTATGCCGCACCCTGTAGTGTGTGTGATTCGTAGAAAAACGGTTTCTGGACTCCGGATGCCCAGAAAGCGACTTTTTCCATTTAATTACCCAAGTTTACTTTATTTTATGAAGATTTTACGAAAAGTTGCAAAGATTAAGAATGTTTTTTTTGGATAAACGAATATTTATTCGAAAACTTCAACAATAAAGAGGTTAACAAAGAAAAATAGAAGGTTTAAGACAAAAATCAGATTTATTTTACTACAAAATGTACAAAAACTATTAAATTACTTGATATTTATCTTTCAAAGCTTGAAAAATTTCTTGAAATTCATTTTCATCGGTTGGATGATGATGGAGATTTGTTGTGAAGGGAAATGTTTTGAGAAGCTCTCCCAAACAAATGAATCGGCCAATGGGAAGTCCATCTGAAACATTTCTAAGTAAAAGCACGATAGATTTTGATTTAAGAAACGTCTAGAGTTCAATGTTACATTTCTAAACCCATTCAACTTTCTAGAAATGCTAAGCAAAATCTTCAGCTAAAGATACTGTAAATCCAAATGATCAGTCTCGCTCAAGTCTACAACTAAATATCTTTAAAATGATGGTAAAAGAGTTAGAATTTGTTTAGCTAAAGAACTTTACAGTAATCTTTAGAGTTTGAGATAATTTTAGCATCAAAATTGAACAAAAACACCGTATTTTCTCTAATAACCGCCCGCCCCTCTCGACCAACTTTAGTTGCCTCGTTCTCAGCTCCATTTTGAGATATTTTTATGTTTAATATATCAAAAGATAGAAGATATCAAGGGCTATCTTTTGGAATATTAAACATAAAAATATCTCAAAAGGAGGCTGAGAACGAGGTGTCTAAAGTTGGGGGGAGGTTATGAAGATACGGTATTCAATCCTTGTCGAGCTTGCTTTTTGTAAACTTTTTAGAATTTTGCTCACTCACTAAAAATCCACGAACAGTGATCGGCAAAGCGGTGAATTTGTTCTCTTCACTCAAAGAGAAAACTCGTTTCAGAGAGTACTGTAAATTGTTTAGAAATTTGTTGTTATTGTTATTGTTGTTATTCAATAATGGTTTCACGATTTACCGTATTTTCTCTAATAGTAGTGAGCGTCGTCTAAATTCCTCGAAATCTCGAAAACCGCTTATCAGAACCTATCGATGTGCGGTCGGAAAATATAGCTGACGATGAGATCTAGTGGGGGATTTGAGTGTTGAGCTTCTGGGAAAACTTTGGAAGCCGTAAATAGTCACCAACTCGGCTCGGCCGGGGTGCACTACTATTAGAGAAAATACGATAGTTGTTTATTGTTTGTTATTGATAGATAATATCATTCCTAGAGTGTGTTCCTCGCAAAGAATTACTCGAGTAAAATTTGCATAAGTAATCTTTACTCGGTTAACCGGCGTTTTTTCGTCGAGTAACTACGAAGTAATCCACTTTACACGCCGAGTCAATTGAATATCTTTGCATTTGAAGAGGAATTTCCCACCAAATCAGTTGATCGGCTGAATATCTTTAAAAAGAGTCGAATATAAGTCGTCGCTCGTGATTTTTTGCAATAATTTTCGCTAAAAGTGCGGTAATTTTTTCCTAAGCTTTAAGCTTTCCTAAGCGTGCGTTTTAAAGAAGGCATTACTCGCGAGGAACGGGCTGTAGTTAAAACAGCGCCGAATAGGAAACGTTCAAAACATCGCCGAATATAAAACGTTCAAAACAGCGCCATAATAGAAAACGTTCAAAACAGCGCCGTCAAATTTCTCAAAATCCAAAAAACCAAGCCGGTTCAAATTTTATACCAAGAAATTCCTTGCGTTCTTGGCTAAATGATGAGTGAAACAGTTTTTTTAAAAAGTTAATATTCATAGAAAAAAATAACGCTCAAAATGTACTCAGTGATACTCAGTTGGTTAACTGAATATCTTTAAAGTTCCATTTTCAGCGCTCTTTTTATCTATAATATTAACGTTTTAAAAAAAACTGTTTCACTCATCATTTAGCCAAGAACGCAAGGAATTTTTTGGTATAAAACTTGAACCGGCTTGATTTTTTGGATTGTTAGAAATCTGACGGCGCTATTTTGAACGCTTTCTATGGCGCTGTTTTAACTACATCCCCGAGGAACACACTTTAATCATTACATTCTACAATTTCTAGAATAACCCACATTTGCATACGATCCAGGCTCCACAATTCGATTCACACTGCACAACTCGTCACCGTGCATATCAATGCAGACCTAGAATTGTGCAATAGTCAGATAATTGTCAGGTATTTCTGTAGCAAGAGTACTGTGAGTCTGAGTATAGTACAAGAGTCTAAATGCTTGGCTTAGTTGCATTCACATCTCTTTAGATGATCTAACTACCCTTGAATTTCTTGTTTCCTTTTTTAAAACCAAACCTTATAGAGAAAGAATTGTTTGTCTGATGGATTCTCGATTTGATAATTCACTTTTTCTCCATTTTCCAATTCGTTTGCCATTCTTGTATATTGACTTATGAATACACCAAAGAAAATCAAGGACAATAAAGCTAAAATGCAAATGAATCCCTCCAGAACTGGATCGTTCTCCGATTTCTGAAATGATGATAAATCATTTGAGATTGAAATCGAATATGCTTTGAAATAGAGGGTGATCAAGAATTACCGCAACAACGTCGTTTTATGTTATGAGCCCCATTTCACTTTTTGCTTACCTGTTTTTATAGTTTTTGTGTATTTTTCTTATTTTTTGGTATGATTACTAACTTTCAATACATTAATATGTTTGTTTTCAGGAATGGTGAAAGCGTCTCCACATCGACAATCGATCCTTGAGCTCAAGCGGCAGCGTGTTCAGACGAGTGAGATCTCAAAGCGCCTGAATGTCGCCAGAAGCCTCGTTTCTCGAACCATTCAACGTTATGAAACTCTGGGCACAGTTTCTGAGCCCTGGAAGAGATGCAAAACGAACAGCGGTTACTCCGGCTAATGTCAAGAAAGTGCGCGATGGTCTAAGATTAAACCCTAACCAATTGGCTCGAGGAATGGCACAGAAAATGGGTCTGAAGAGAAGCTCCGTCAACACAATCATCAAGAAAAAACTGAGAATGAAGCCGTACAAGAAGAACAAATCTCAATTACTATCAGCTGCTGCGAAGGGACCGATGTGCCCAACTTTTGCAACGGTTCAACGGAATCGATCACCACAACATCCTGTTCACCGATCAAAAGATATTTACCGTTGAGGGAATTCTCAACAAGCAAAACGATCGAGTTTGGGCAAAATCTCAGCCAAATGTCACCGTATCGCGCAGTTCTCATCCTGCATCGGTGATGGTTTTTACCGGGATAACCGCCAATGGAAAGACGCCGTTGATCTTTGTTCTTCAAGGTGTGAAAGTAAATACGGTCAATCATTTGGACTTGCTAAAGAAGGAGGTTATTCCGGGGGCTCAACACCACTTCAAAAATCGAATTTGGACTTATCAACAAGATGGTGCGCCGGCTCACAAGGCAAAGAAAGTGCAAGAGTTTTGTTCAAAGACCTTCCCGAACTTCATCTCGTTTCCTGAGTGACCACCAAGCTCACCCGATCTTAACCCATTGGATTACTCAGTCTGGAGTGTTTTTGAAGCCAGGGCATGTGCAAAACCACATAAAAATATCGAAAGTTTAAAGAAGGCGCTGATCAAAGCATGGGATACCCTCGATAATGCCTATTTGCTCGCCACGGTGAACGCTTTTCCCAAACGTTTCCAGGTCGGAATGCCGATGGAGGCAAATTTGAATTTAATTGTTAATTTGTTACTGTTATCTGTTGAATAAAGATATTAAGTTAACTTTTCGAGATGGGTTGGATATTTGGTTAAAAGCCAAGCCTTTTGTGTGTTGCGGTAATTCTTGGTCACCCGGTAGAAAGCCGGTACGATAACACAAGCAGTTGAGTTGAGTTGTTTACTAAAGTTTAAAACTAGTAGTTTCAAGCTGCTATTTTTTGTGTTCTGTATTCTTAGATATTTAACCCATTCGAAACCGCAGCGTTTTTTCTTTTTTTTCGTCTACGGACCAAGCCCTTTTTTGACATTTTTGACTCCGAAGCAGTTTATTTATGGTTGGAAAGATGCAAGAGAATCTCCTACACCATTTATTTTTGATGAAGAACGATTTGGATTTGACTTCAGTACTTTTCAAGATCCTATATTATTCTTATTTTATCGACGACAAATTAATCAACATGTTAGTAGGCGAATCTAATAAACATGGAAAAAGGAAAAAAAACTGGCAGGATTTCGATGCAAGCTCTTCCTGGCTCTGTATCTTCAAATGGGAATCGTCAAATTACCAAAGATTCGTGACTACTGGAGTAGCAAGCCTGGATTAGGAGGATTTTCCCACATGTCCCACATTATGTCAAGAGCAAAATTTGAATCTATTCTTCGAAACCTGCGTTTTTGTGATAATGAACTGGATCCTGCAGGAGATCGGCCTTATAAGATTAGAGCTATTATGGAACATTTCAATGCAAAACCAGAGACTGCATTGATTCCGGGTAAATATGAAACATCTTTTTTGCCCACGTAATTTGTAGATCTGCTACAATTGGAATATACATGTAATGCTGAAAAACAGCAAAAAAAACCAATTAATTGAATAAAAATAGCTCAATTAGCGCTGCAGCGAATAATCGCTGCAGCGGTCCGTTCCTGAGTTTTTGTTGCAGCGATTATTCGCTGCAGAAGTTTCGAATGGGTTAAATGTGCTGAATCCAAATTTCAATCCATTTCCAATGTACAAGAACTATATCTTGCTAATTATTTGAACTTTCCTCACCAATTTGTGCTCTCTCTTCTCGACTTGTTTCTCTTGATCGTCGATGATTTTCCCTTTTACTTCATCTCCATTCGATCTCTCTTCATCCAAAAACTGAAAATAAAATGTTTTCTCTTTTTTCAATCAATAATTTCTCAATTTTTCAAACCTTTTTTTGATTTGAATCGATTTGAAAAGCTTCATCATTTAAAGTCGCTTTCTAAATTTTCTTTTGCTTTGCTGCTTTGCTTTTAGCTCAAAGCCTCAGTTTCAATTTCAAGCATCAGCTATTGCTAATCCCTAAAATCCAACTTATTCATTAATTTTAGTTCTTATTGTTATCAGCTAAATATCAGCTATTCTTAATATCTTTTCCCACAAAACTAACTAAAATTCGAGAAGAATTTGAATGATGCAATGCCAGAAAGCGAGGATTTACGAGCACAACCCTGAACGCTGTAAGCTCAACCCGTGTACATTACTATGCACTATGCAGATCTAATCTTAATATTAGGTTGTCCATTTATGAATGCACGCCTGCTCTTGAACAACTTGAACAGCATTCCTTAGAGTTTTACAATTTTATCAAACCCAATTTTCTATATGCTGTTCAGGATTTCTTATTTTATTACAACTTTTCGTGTTTTTGATCAATTTTTGATTTAATTCTTGTGTTTAGATTGAATTTCTGTGAACGACACGAAGTTTCGTTTCCGTGCCTCTCTTTGGTATGACTTCAAATTGGGCAAAAGTATAGCTGAATCTCATTGAGGCCTTTGGAAAGTATTTTGGAAGATGCTATTTCGGAAAGCCAGTGTCGGCGATGGTTTCAACGATTTCGAGAAGGATTTCGAGCAGGAGAGGACGATTTTTGGGAGATGAGGACCACCGGCCTCCTACGATCGATAATGCAGTACTTAAACAGGCGATCGAAATTGATCCTCGACAAACTACACGTGAACTTGCAGAAATATTTGGAATAAACCCTCAAAAACGCACATTTATAACTGGACAAGCTAATATCTTTTCCCACAAACTGTATAAAGATTCATCGATCGCAAACCTTTTCCTCTTCGTCTCTGGCAACAAAAAGAGAATTTGGGTGTTCAACGCGAGCTCCTTCATCGATCATTGCCTCGATTTCCTTAATTTTCCCTTCTTCTCGATTCTCCTCATTCCTTTCCATTTCCATTTCCATTTCCACAATTTCTTTCACGATTTCTGGCAACACTTCATAATCCGATCCATCAGTGTCCTCCATTCATCAACTGAAAACGTATTTTAAAAGTGATTGCGAAACTTTTAAAGCTGAGAAATTTAGAGACAGAAACAAAATGGATTTTCAGAAGAAACAAAAGGGCTATTAGAGGTGTGGAAAAGGTTTTTAGAGTGAAAACTTATCTGTTCACCAGATTGATCAATGCCAATGGGATTTCGGGGTTAAAATTGAAACGATTTTGGCAAACGGTGAAATGTTTAATGCTCTGCCAATGAAAAATAAAAGATTGACTATAGAAAGTGAAAGAATTTGAATTTTAAACTCAAAAACTAATTGGGAAAGCAAGTGATGCCTCTCTTTTTAAGATTTTTAAAGAATTATTGTAGAAATTTTGAAGACTGAAGAATTATTGAAGAAATTTTGATTTCTTGCGATAATTTTGCGAATTTCAACGAAAATTTTGGCTCTTTTTAGCTTGTAAATTAGTAAAATGCGTTATTTATTTCATTTTTGAAAGACTCGGAATCTTCCTTGAAGATTTGAGTGGGCAGAGATCGTTGGGAACCAAGTGTAATCCTTTTTCAAGCTGTTGAAGAGATGTTTCTAAAGGCAAATCAGTGAAATACTTTTTAATATTATATCATTTTTTAATAAATTGAGCTTATTCTTGAAGATTTGATTAGAAAATCGCAAATTTTCACTATAACTCGAATTGAAATCACTATCAAAAGCTTCAATCACGCTTTTACCCACTTAAACTTACTTTTCGTCAAACAAACCTTGAATCCAATCGATAGAGAATTTCAAGCCGCATTTTTGACATAAAAATGAGCCCGATCTGTCAAAGTATAACTGAGAAACGGCCAAAAAATTAAATCGCTTGGGCAGATCGGTGTTCTTTGTGAAAGTCAGTGAAACCGCTACTGTTTCACAGTGTCACAGTGGAGGGGGGACATCATGACCTGTTGCTCGTAACCGGATTACATTATGCTCCCTTTGGGCTCCGGCTTCTGTTTGCTGTCCGATACTTGACAGTCATCTAGATGGCAGAAGTCTGGACACCCCATTGGAGGAGTCGTGAGGTTCTTAAACCGACTGGAGATCAGATCAATCCCTTTTAGCATCATCAAAGCGTAACTTCGGAGCTTTCTCCTACTTACGTTCCTAGAAAGCTGAGCATTCTTTCAGTGGGAGGCGGTGCCATCGCCAGACGTGAACCTCGGATCCCAAGTCTTCGGACCACAGGGTGGCGGAGTACGAAGTTCAACCACCTCCGCGTGGTGCACTCTGAGCACTTCCTGAGCAGGCAATCACCAAATTTGCACGATAACTGAAATTAAGATCACAGTCTAAAAGTTTCAATCTCATTTTTACCCACTCAAACTTACTTTTCACCAAACAAACTCGACCCAATTTGACGCAGTTTCTCAAGGCCCATCTTTTGACCTCACAATGAGCCCGATCCGTCATAGTATGGCTGAGTAACGGCCCAAAACAAAATAGCTTAATGGGGGATTGAGGCTCTTTGTGCGCGTGCACAATCGCGAACTTTCTGGCAGAGGGCCTTTACAGATAGGGACCCTTTTCGCTCTCTCTCGTCCTCGTGTCCACTCGCACATTGGTCCATCTGGTTTCACGAGTATAAACGAATGTTTGGAGACAGAGTTTGTAGAAGCCTGCTTCTCGCTTGGTCGGTGCCTAACCCCTTGATGGAAGGCGGCGCCCGGAGCCATGGGCTGGCCCGGGTCGATGGTACGAATAGCCCCGAGCAACAAAAAACCGAAAGGTTGACCGAAAGGATGTTGTGGAACGACCCACAGTCTCCCGTGAGGGATACCGCTGAAGTTCGTGGAATCGCATCTACTATTTCGCACTGCCACCCGTGGAGGGAGGCAGAATGGTCTGTTGCTCGTAACCGGATTACAGTTATGCTCCCTTTGGGCTCCGGCTTCCGTCAGCTGTCCGCTACTCGACAGTCGTCTAGATGGCGGGAGTTTGGACACCCCATTGGAGGAACCGCGAGGTTCTTAAACCGACTGGGGATCAGATCAATCCCTTTTAGCATCAACAAAGTGTAACTTCGGAGCATTCTCCTACTTACGCTGCGCGCACCTTAGCAAGCTGAGCATTCTTGCTGTGGGAGTCGGTGCCATCGCCAAGGACCAGACGTGGACCTCGGATCCCAAGAGTCTTCGGACTACAGGGTGGCGGAGTGCGAAGTCCAGCCACCTCCTCGTGGTGCACTCTGGGCACTTCCTCGAAACAGGAAGTGGCGAAGAGCTGGACAAAAAGGGAAGAACTTTTGGATTAGAACTAAACTTTGAAAAAGTAAAGTTTTCTTGTTTAAAGGATTTTTTTCTTGCAAACCGTACTGACGGCTTTGTTCTTTAAAGTCAAAAAGTTTATTGAAAACAAATTGAAGAAAGAAATTATCCTATTTGAGATACAAAAAACATACATTTGCATACTAAGAAAGATTTGAATAAAAATGAAACTGATTTAGATTGAAAGAAGGTTTCAAGGCTTAACTTTATAGGAGATTTTCTGAACGGGAAGATAATTGAAGAAGGTTTCCCAAAGGAATGGAGAGTTCTCGGGAAGATCATCGATCTGAAAGTCACATTGAAATTGTGGATTCGAAAAGTTTAATCGGGTAAACGGATTTTATTGGTGAATTTTAAAAAAACATGTTAAGAAATGATAAATTTCAATTTTTTAAATCTTTTTGAAAGAGTTTGATGCTTTTAGAATGACCAAAAATTAAAGCTTTTCTAGAAGCTTTTTTTATCATTTCTAGAAAAGATATTCATTGTTATGTCTGTATTTTAAAAGACTTTGAAATGAAAACTGACCAAGAGTCCAGTGACGGTGATCTCGGGATGATGAAAACCTCCGGCTGTTTGATTGTATGTTTCGAGATCGAGTGTGATCTGGGGGAATTAATTTCATTCAATATTCTTATTGAATTTTGTTCTTCAAATTGTAAATTGCTTGAAAACGAGGAAAACACCTTTCCTAGAGCAATCCAATCGTCATTTTCCCCTTCATTTTGTCCCCTTTCATTCATTTTCATTTTGTCAATGGAATTCTATTAGGTTGTTCGGATATAAACAAGCGTTGCTAAACTTTTTGTTGTGAGAGAAGCTTTTAAAACATGTCTTTCTGTATTTAAATGTACGTTATCTTGTGTATATTTGGAGTCTTTTTAAACGGATCTCTTTAAACGGATTTCTTATCTTAAAGGTCTTTTTTTCTTGCTTTAGATGACCGACTTCAAATATATCAGGTTCGCGTCTACTTTACTTATCAATAAGCCTACTTTACGACTTTAAACTGGGCAAAATAGTCGCGGAATCTCATCGAGATTTGGACAAAGCATTTGGGAATAATGCATTGTGCGAAAGCCGATGAAAGTGATGAAAGTCTCGAGGATCATGAACACTCTTGTCGACCTCAAGCGGTAGACAACGATATTTTGAGGGCTGCGGATCCATGTCAAACGACGCATGAACTTGCTCAACAGTTTCTATGTTCAAATATTGATGAGCATCTCGACGCCATTGGAAACGCGATCAGATACGGAAAATGGCTTTCTCACGAGTTAAGCAGTGCAAACAAGGCTTCGCTATTGCCGGAATCCTTATTCGACACGCTAAAGATCATGGCTTTTTTGATTCTCTCGTTACTGGAGATGAGAAGTGGATCTATTTCGATAATACTATTCGAAAACGGCAATGGCTAGGACCAGGAGAACGGCCAAATTCGACCGTGAAACCGGACATTCATGGGGAAAAAGGTGATGCTCTCAGTATGGTGGAATAACAAGGACCCATCGAGATTTGTTCAAAGCATTTGGGAATGATGTATTGTTTGAAAGCCGATGCCGAGCCTGGTTCCAACACTTTCGGAACGGTGATGAAGGTCTCGAGGATTATGAACACTCTTGTCGACCTCAAGCGGTAGACAACTATATTTTGAGGGCTGCGGATCCATGTCAAACGACGCATGAACTTGCTCAACACTTTCTATGTCCAAATTCTACCATTGATGAGCATCTCGACGCCATTGGAAAGGCGATCAGCTAAGAGAAATGGCTTCCTCACGAGTTAAGCAGGTGCAAACGCTATATCAAACGCTATATCAACAATCTAATAGATTTTCCTTTCATTTTTCCGTCATTAAAAGAAAATTTGAAATTTGTACATTAGAGATGAGATATTTCTAATCGTTAACCTCAAGTACATCTCACTTTTTCACTTTTTACTATGATTTTCTTAAAGAAAAGTGAATTCCTCACATTCCGGTGCATATCTGGTCCCAAAAACTCGGCCTCAGTGCAGAATTTGATTGAAGTATTGAAACAGAACTGAAATTTGAAATCCTTAGTCTTATAAGTAAAGAAATTTCAATCTAGATCTTTAAAACAAACCTTGTACATCATGAAATGTCTCTTTGAGGGATTCGAGATTGAATAGACTCTTTGTTTAAATCGAAGATTCAATGTTTCATTCAAAATTTGCTTAAAATAGAGCTGAGTGTGATTCACAGAAGATTCTAGAGAAGTTGAAGATTCGCTTGAAGAATTGTTGGAGAAAAAATGAAGGAAAAGGCAAAGAGTTAGCGCCAATCCAAATAAGAGCTCTTTGTTCGCAATCTGGAAAGGAAACTGATTAAGAAAGTTTCTTTTAGAAGAACAGAACCAATTCGAATTCGAATTCAGAACCAATTCTAGCAGCTTAGATCAAAAAACATATGGATTCGTGCTTATAAAGCACGAATTCTTAGCTTCAATTCATCACCCAATATGTCCAATCATTAATTTCAATCTTAAATCCTGTTAAAAGTCGAAACTGACCTCTTTTCCCTTTGTTTTCTTCTCTTTATTCCCATCCTTTCCTCCTTTCTTCACTTCTCTTGTTTCTCCTCGTTCTCCCTGATCATCACTCAACTCAATCGTTTCATTCATTCTTCTTGAGGATGAGGAATCTTCGGATAAAATGAGAAGCTCCTGAAAGGCAATCTGGTTGATCTCATTGATATTTAACCAATTCAAAGCCTATCTTCTGATCTCACAAAGGAAATCTCACAATTCTAAGCTTTACAACTTTATTACAGAGCTGTAAGGCTCTGTAATAAAGCACAATCCTAAGCCTTACAGCCTTAAAGACTCTGAAATTGCTATTGTGAATATTGCTGAATCTGAATCTGCAATCAAATTTTGCAATCAAATTTTACAGAACGTTGTGCAACGTATCAAAGAACAGAACGTAGCAAAGTTTTAAGAGTCCCTTTAAGAAGCTAACTCAAGCCGCTATTTTAAAGCAGCTATGGCTAACTGGTGCTCGAATAAGAACCAGTTCCCACAGTGGTTTCTAGTTTCGAGCCTGCTACAGTATTTTTTAATCTTTCTTCAACTCGAAGCAGGTAATTCAGCTTCAGCATGTTTTACTAATGCTTATCTTCACAAAAATCATTGACAAATCATAATTGCTATAATTTCAAGTTCACTTTGTTCTTATTTAGCTTCTCAAGCATGGAGTTCTTTTTCAGATGAGTGTCTTTTTCGGGAATTTAGTAGAAGTATTTAGTATTTAGTAGAAGTTAAGTGAAAGCAGTGGTAGAAATTTGATAATGACTCTGTGCCTTTCCTTTGTTTTTTTTTCATTTGTTTTCATTTGTTAGAAATTAAAAAGGTTAATCTATAGGCTATTTTTCAGATACTGATATTCTACTGATATTTTACGTCAGTATTGATACGGTACTGATATTCTACTTAATCAAGAGTCGATATAATTGGATGCTCTTAACTTAATGATTCTTCGATTCTCCTTATCACTGACCTTATCACTGAGCCGTTCATCATCGGAACCTCCCGAGATCATTTCGAGATCCGAATCGGATTGAAGTTTGCTGAACATCGATGTGATTTTCTGAAAGCTGATTAGCTGAAGAGACTAATCGATTTCAATCAATCAATCAATCAATTTGTGAAAATGAAAATGATAAAAAAATATTAGTATTTCAGATTGTTGAAAAGTTGTCGACGAAAGGCAATCTCTTTTTTATGAGATTTCTTTTTTAATTCGTTATTGCCACTGGGTGTTTATCTCTTAAAGGGAGAGCTGTAGGGAATCCACTAAAGAATTGGCAGCAATTTAAAAAAACAGATGTCTATTATTCAATCTTTGATCAATCGATTAATTGTCCTGATTTCTATTTAACAGAAAATTCTATTTATTTCCATTCCATTCATTTCCATTCCATTACATTACATTCCTTTCCATTCCATTCATTACCATTCCATTCTGTTCCTTTCCATTTAATACAAAATGCAGATCTGAATGATAACCTTTAGAATAAAATCAAAACAAGATTTAGAAGAAAGAAAAGAAAACGAATTTTCATTCATTTTATATCACTCTCCCCTAGACGAAAGCTATAGTTTTTAAAGGCGGAATGGCTTTTTGTAAATAGAAACTTTAGAAGCCCAGACTAGGCAATCTTAACAGTCAATTTCTCGCGATTTCCATGCACTCTTCAACCAACTCGTCGCTGTTGGCTCTACTGTAGCCGCTTATTAATTACAGCAAGCGACCCACAGGGTTAGAAAAATAGCTCAATCCATCAAAATATAGCTATTAAACAGCCAAAAAACTGTTTCACTCCGATCTAGTTAGGTGTTCTTTGTGCGGAAGCGTAATCGCTCGCCGTCTGGCGCAGGGCTTTTACTTAAGGGGAGGGTTTTCCTCTTCTCTTTGGCAATCTGTTCCGGTCCGGGTAACACTGGCCGTATCCGAAGGGGGCGGATCATTTTGATCCGTACCGTGTCGTCGCCCATTTGGCGCAAAGCTTCGGTACGTGTGGGGGTGCTGGCCATTTTGGTCTTCACCGTGTCGACGCTCTTTCAGCGCAAAACCACACGGAACAGGACCCGTGAAGTGGCCAACTGGCCGTGTGGGGATGTCTTTGGCATCCCTGCATTCCCTCCTCCTGGGCCGACCATTAGGCCCAGTGGGAAGGTTCCCCCAACTAGGCTAGTTCCCCCATAGGCCCCCCTCCCGCTGGGCCGACCGTTAGGCCCAGTGGGAAGGCGCTGCTCGACGTCCAGCCACCTCCGCGTGGTGAGCAGTGGGCATCCCTGGAGAAACCGGGGATGGCTAAGAGCTGGACAAAGTAGTTAGGGTAAGAAGAGCTGAATAAGGCAGGAGCTATAAACTCGATGACTAGAGGAGCTGTATCAATTGGCATAAAGCATATTGAAACAAAAGCAAAACGCAGCAAATACTTTTAAAGAAAACATCGTGACGTACTTAATTTTCAGCACAAAAATGTTTAAAAATTTCTAAAAGAAAATTTTTCTGCGCTTTTCCTTTTGCATTTCTTTGAAATAAGCATTTTTTTGAGTTCAAACAGTGCAAATTGTGGTTAATTTTATTTCATAAATGGAATCAATGAAAAGCGATGAGAGATAAAGAGGAAATTCTTACTGTTACAAAGAAAAGTGTAAGAAATGATTGTTTGAAGTGTTTTGGGGTTGAAAAAGACGATTAAAAAAAAAACCGATTGCCCTTTTTTAGCTAATAATTGCAACGTAGAAATTGGGTTTTTCATATTTCAGCAAATTGAAACACCGTATTTTCTCTAAATAGAGAAACTCAAGCTCCCTCTTTAAGCCCGGCTTTTGTCACCATCAAATTTGACTCTTTTAACCTTTAGAAACCTTGGTTCAACCCAATCAGCCGATATGATCACTGGTTTGATTCGAGGTATCATCGGTGAAGCCAACAATGTTTTAGCAAGCTATAGTGTGAGTTACAGTATGACAAGGCATATCTTTAGCTTTAGAAATTTCAGATAAAAGATAAGCTCAAGCTTTAGAAAGCCCCGCTAACTCAAGCACCATCTTTCAGCCCGGCTTTTGTCACCGAGATGCCCATCTCATCTGGATCAATCACGCAAGGATCTCCAACTTTCAATCAGGTAGACTTGAAGTTTAAATTATTTTCCAATGATAGTCTTACAATCAAGAATAGCCAACTACCGTATTCTCTCTAATAGTAGTGCACTCTCTAATAGTATTGCGGTCCGAGAGGGGGTTGAAAAAAATAGTAGTGCACCCTCGAAAATTTGAATTTCTGGTGCCTCTTTTTCATCTAAACCTTTTTGACTTTATGTTTTTGTGACATTCTAAAGCTATTCAAGCAACCAAAAGTGAGGCTTTTTTTATTCATTTATTAACTATTCTTCACATGAAAAAGTTAGCAAAAAAAACTAAAATTGTTGTGCAAAGTGCAAAAGCATCTTTTTGTTGTTTCCACACATTGTTTTAGTGGCACATTAACTCAAATTTGCTTACGAGGTTCGCGCAAAGCTATAGCCGTTTTTTGCTCTTATATACCTGTATAAAGTTTGAGAATTGACTTAACTTTTGCAGCGCTAAGCTTTATTGTTATCAAAACTCAATCCTAGAAAATAATCCATCATGTTCGATTTTAATATTATATAATTTTTGTTAATGTGGAAAGGTGACGAGGAATTTTCGGCATCAGAGGGATGACCAAATTTATTCATGTCAAGACACAAATTGTCAACTCGCCGGCCCACAACTGGATTTGAAAAGGAGCCAAAGGTGAAAGAATTGCAAGAATTTTTGGAACAAATCTTATATCTGTCTTACTTTGGTAAATGATAAAACTCTTTAATAGTAGTGCACTCTCTAATAGTGTTGCGGTCTAGGAGGGGGTTGAAAAAATAGTAGTGCGCACTACTATTAGAGAGAATACGGTAATGGCATTTTTAAAGGCCATAATCTTAAAGATAGAGTCAATCCACAGCTTACTAAAGATACTAGTTGTGCCAAAATGTAAAAGTTTGATTTCTTGAATTAGGATTGACTAAACTAAGGATCGACTTGGATCAACCTCTGCTATAGCTGCAGTTATTTCTTTATTTCAGTCACCTGTGAGCCCAGTTGAGCAAGAAATTGCCTCATTTGAAGCCAGTCAACCAGAACGAGTCCAAACCCGTCATCAGAGTCAGCCCAACAATCAGTTCTTTTGCCACTGGGTAATTTTTGAAAGAAATCAATGATTTTGAATATAAATTCATCGATTATTAGGCTTTTACTTTGGATTATTGTTTAGAAGCCCGCTGGAAAGTGAGCCGGCCGATGTGCGAAGAGCGCAAGCTTTGAATACTGGTGTTTTAGCCGAGAAGGGGCGGTTGGAAGAGGTTTGTTGAGTTAAAAAGGACTTGAAAAGTCAAAGTTAAGAATTTGAAACTTGATATACCGTATTTTCTCTAATAGTAGGCGAGCCGAGTTGATGACTATTTACGGCTTCCAAAGTTTTCCCAGAAGCTCAACACTCAAATCCCCCACTAGATCTCATCGTCAGCTACATTTTCCGACCGCACATCGATAGGTTCTGATAAGCGCTT